CATCTTCCTTATGAATTTTGAACACTCAGTCAGATTAACTAAAAACTACCCTGCCCCAGGTTAAAATTCAAGGTTTTTTCGTATAGAAAAGAAACTTCTACTTCAAAGGCTCAAAAGGGGTTAGCAAGGGATTATCTTCCTTATATCTACGGTGTTTAGGGATTAGAAACAACACCTGTACATCATCAGCAAGATTTTATCCAAAAGCAAACAACCAGAGATTTTGTGTTCTTTAGATCATCATCCTCCCTTCAATCTCTGCCTAGGCAAGAGAATGAGCAAAAATTTGGTATCATAGTGCAAAAGCAATTTAAAATTTGAAAACAAATATGAGTGAAACGAATGAATTTCTTCAAGACAAACATATTCATTGTATTAAGATAATCATTCAGATGCAAACAAGTTCTTACATGCAAACAATGCTTTGATAAACAACAAAAATTACAAAAAGCATAAATAAGTTAATAATCTGGGAAGGCTTTCCATCTGGACTTGAATTACCGGAAACATCCTTCAAGAATCAAAATCACCATCAATCGTGTTTACTCTTCGGCACATGCTCGATTTGAACTTCAAAACCAACGTCCTTGAATGACAAGATACCACTTCTGACCAACTTCTGAACCTCAATCTTCAAAGCAAAGCAAACCTCCAAGTCATGCCCAGGAGCACCTTGATGAAAGGTACAAGCCAAATCAGCTTTGTAGTACCAAAGTATCTTCTCAGGAACCTTCGGTGGAGGTCGGGTCTGGACCAAATTCCTCTGCATTAGGATAGGGAACAACTCTGTATAGGTAATTGGAATTGGATCAAACTGGGTTTTCCCTTTGATTGGGAACTTGCTGATTCTGTTGATGAATAGGAGAAACGTGATGATTCTGACGATGATTATTTCTTCCTATGGTTCTCTTCTTGGAAAATTTATTATCAAACTTCTTCACACCATTAGCTGAGCTACCATCTTCATATAAACATCCCTTTCCAACATCTTCTTCTAGACGCACTCCCACATTCACCTTGTTAGAAAAGTCATTAGGTGCATTAACCATCACCTTCTCATGAGAGAATGATTTTAGAGTTTCAGTGAAGACTTTTATCATCGCTTCCTCCCTCCTAAAAGGATTGACTTGGGCGGCAACCAGAATTTCAACCAAAACAGTTGAGTGATCCATACCAGCTTTGAAAATAGTCATCTCTCTACGGAGTTCAGAAACCTCTTGCTTGATATTCTCCATTGTTCTCTTAGCGCGAGTGTTGTATTGGTGAGACCAAAGGAAAAATAAGACTCAAAAAAAGACCTTTGAAAGTGAAACAAAAAAATGTAGAATGATGTATGATATGCAAAAGAGAGTTTTTATTTGATTTTCAAGGAACTCAAGATATTAAGTTGTAAACATCAAAGTATGAAGATAAAAGATGAATCTTAAATTGGCTCCAAACATTGATCAAGTTATCATCAAGATCAATCATCCATTTTGGTGGATTAGGGTTTTCGCCCTATCAACACCCAAGATCCATTGAGCTTGACGAAACTTGTGATGCTTACAAAGAAAGACCTCCAAATTCCTTCAAAGTCAAGTGAAAAGGGTTTTATGGATGCATGAATGCATGGTTATGCAACAACCACAAGCAAGGTCACAAATAAAGTCGAAAGGTTCAACGTCACGAGCATGGAGTCAAGGTAAAGAACATCCCCAAGGTATGTACTAACGGTTTAATCACACCTGTAGAACAAGGTTCTAAGAGTTCCCGGAGTCTACATTCCTCCTTCGGATATTACCAACGTCTTGATTACTCAATAATCAGCAATATTCTCAAGAGAAACTCATCCGAGCGTAGCATCGCGTAACAATTACTTCCGGATTACTCCGTTATAATCTCCGCGCTACACCTAAAAGGCCAAGATGGGTTAGGGTTCTACGGTTCCCAGCTTCTCTGGCTCCCAGGTCGAAAATAATAATGTCTTCCCGATTACTCGGTAAACAAATATTACGTTCAAAAGGGCCTTCCACTGAGTGAGGGATCTCATGCCTCCTTCTTCGGGATTACTCCCTCAAAGTTAACATGACTATACCACCCGTCCTATTCCTAAGTGTAACTTAGTCCGGGTATAAGACTTGTCCTTTGTAAATATTATCAACACCCAAATAATCATAATATATACATATAATCAAACAATCAAATAATGATAAAACAGATAAAACAAATTAGGCTTAACCCACTTAGGGATGGACCAGCAAGAGGTCAATCTTTCTCCAGCAGAGTCACCAATTCTGTAGCGGTGAAAATCGGAGATCAAGCTATTAATTAACTTGACTCGCAAAAGCAAGAGTCGCCACCGCGCTTTATTATTTCCAAGGGAAAAGGGAAAAGAGCGAAATAAAACCCTAAAATATGCAATGTAAAGTAATATTTAAAAGTAATGAAAATACAATGCGTTTTTAAAAGAGATCGAGAGTTCGGGGGTTGGTTATACAATGGGAAGGTATTAGCACCCAATGCATCTGCGGTACTCCGCAGGAACCTTTTGAAATATCTGTTTTTTTGGTTTAAAATTATTTGTTTGATTAAAATGATTCGTTTGGCTAAAGGATGGGTATGGACGAGATTTTTGAAGATACGACGACCTAGTGTCGAAGTTTTGACTTAAAAGGTGTGAGTTTGAAAATGGATTTGTAGGAGATTCGTCTTAAGATTAATAAAACTAAAAAAAGGTATGAAGGGATTTCACATAATCGTATTAGATACTCGATGACATGAAGTCAACAAATTAATTCTTTCCCTTGGATTAAATCGAGCGAGCAAAATAAAATAGACATCAAAATATAAGCAATCAAAATTCACAAGAAAATAAATATAACGAAACAGATTAATGACCTAAAGGCATCGAGAAATTAAAATGACAAAGATATTTAAATAAAATAAAAGAGAATGTAACTAATTATCTAAAGAAGTTATTTAAACTATATTAAAAATTTAAGATTACTTACTAAAAAAAAAATTCTAAACTAACTACAAATTCTAAGGTTGCAAAAATAGTTCTAAAATTACTAAATTGAATCTAAGCTAAATTAAACATTTTTAAAATTAGTAAATTAAATCTAAACTAAATAAAAATTCCAAGGTTGCTAATCTAAAACAAAAAAAAGTTCCAAAGTTACTAAACTAAATCTAAATCAAATGAAATTCTAAAAGAATATTAAACTAATTCTAAACAACTAAAATTCTAAACTTATTAAAATAATTCTAAATCAAATAAAGTTCTAAAGTCCCTAAACTAAAACTAACAACTAAAATTCTAAAGTTAACCTAAATAAAAATCAAATAAAATTCTAAAGTTTACTAAATTAAAACTAAAACAAATAAAATTCTAAAATTTACTAAGTCAAATCTAAATGAAATAAAATCCTAAAGTTACTAAAATAAAACTAAAACAAAATAAAATTCTAAAGTTTACTAAGTCAAAAACTAAAACAAATAAAACTCTAAAATTTACTAAGTCAAATCTTAAATGAAATAAAATCCTAAAGTTACTAAAATAAAACTAAAACAAAATAAAATTCTAAAGTTTACTAAGTCAAAACTAAAACAAATAAAACTCTAAAATTTACTAAGTCAAATCTAAATGAAATAAAATCCTAAAGTTACTAAAATAAAACTAAAACAAAATAAAATTCTAAAGTTTACTAAGTCAAAACTAAAACAAATAAAACTCTAAAATTTACTAACTAAATTATAAAATCACTAACTAAGCTAAATCAAATATTCTAAAGTTATTAACTAAGTTAAACATTCTAACATTATTAACTACTGAATGAAAAATTTAAAATTACTAACTAAGCTTAATATAAAAAATTCTAGACTTACCAACTAATTCTAAAGAAAAATATTAAGTTGACTCCAAACTAAACTAAATAAAACAAAATATCTAATTTAAGAACAAAATTATATGATTAATTAAAACTAACTAACCTAAATAAATGAAATATAGCTTAGAAAAAAAATCAAATCTAAATTGAATAGAACTATGGTGTAGGGCAGTACAGGGAAGAAATCGTCTTGTATTTCGTATGGGCTCAAAGAGGGAATGGCCAGCCCAAGTTAAGGAGAATAGATAAAATAAAAATAAAAAAGAAGAAATAATATGAAAGTTACAACAAAGATAAGTATGGGTCGGCAAATGTTTCATGGGGAAGGTTTTGACCAATTCATCTTGAAATTACAGCCATGTAGAAAATGACACGTGGAATTAAATTGATTAATAAAAAATAAAATAAAAACCCAAAATACTTACACGTTGAGAGAGTTTCAGATCCAAACTCGGTTACTCTTTCTTTCTCCAACACTCTGCTTCCTTCTTTTCATCGTTTTTTTCTCCCCAATTTCAAATACAAACAAACACCACAAGTTCATGGTCAAAACAAAAAGTGATAACATCAAAATGAACTTGCACTGATATGTGGCCGGGACGAGCAACAACGAGAGATCGCGATGGCTGTGCAATCACTCGTGGCGGAGGAATCTTTAAATGGGTGGTTGCAGCGTCGGGCATCTCGCATCGGATGTATGATTGTTGCGCAGATCCGAAGCTCAACGGTGATTGGAGTAGTGGCATCGTGCGATTGGAGGGGTGTAGGTGGTGGATGACGTTACGAATGTTGATGATGAGGAACAGATCGCTGGGTTCATGAGCGAGAGAGGAAGACGGCGATGTAAGGTTGGTGAATGTGAGTATGTTAGCTACTGTTAGTTTTTTGTGTCTTTATGTGTTTCTATCTTTCTCTTCTTCTTGTTGAACTCTTATAGATTCTGAAATCCGATTGTTGTGAATGCTATGTTGAGTTGTTGAATGTTTTTATGCACATTACAGATGGAGAGTGTCTTGTGGATTTGAGCGAATAAAAGGTGATGAAGGTTTTGGTGAAAGGTTATAGAGATGAGTTGGGTAAACAATAGTTAGGTTGTAAGTTGAAAGGTGGATTGTAGAAGTCTGATACAGTTTAAAAAGGTGATGAAGATTTCTGGTTTATGAGGGGGTATGGAGTGTTTGGAGTGAAGGTTAGTTGAGTATGTAATGGAGATGATGGCTGGTTTGTGGAGAACTTCGTGGAAGATGAACATAACAGAGGGAGATGGCAGGAAAGCGGAATTGTGTTTGTTTTGTTTTTTTGAAGGGGAATTTCCAGATGAGGGATTATGCTGTGCGTTGAAATAGAAGGGTTGAAATTGTTTTTGTTCACTTCTTCTTGCTTTCTTGATGCAGGTTGGTGGTTTTCTATTCTTGTGCAAAATTGGGACAGCATAGCAGAACTAGTTTGACTGCTGCAACATAGGTTGATTTTGGACAGAACTTATACAGTTTTGGGACTGTAAGGCAGAGTTTGTAGCAGTGGTTCTGGACAGCAGACAAAAGACAGTTTTGGGGCATTATTTTTGGACTGATGTGCAGCAGTAAAATTATCATTGAAAGGTCCCTTTTCTACTTTTCATTTTTTTCTGATTTTCCCATGTAACCATACATGTATTTTCCCTCTCTTTTCTTTTAAAATATTGGACTGATTTTGTTTTCATATATTTTGTTGTTTTGGTGGACAGATTTGGATGAAAATTGAAGCAAGGTTTGGATGAGTTTTGGGAGCTTGATGTCATTTATAAATAGGACTTGGTAGTTTTGAATTGATGTATTTGATCATTTGATGATTGAATTTGTAACTTTTATTATGACATTGAGTGTTTGAGTGAAATGACAACTTTTGGTGAAACATGGTTTAGACTTTGTAACTTGTTATATTTGAATTCAAAATTTCCATAATTCCAAATTGTAAGCATTATAAGTTGGATGGAACTTTTGTCCCTTGTATTCGAACCTCTCTTGAAAAACATTTGCAACTTTGAATGGCATTTGAACTTGACATTTTAATTTTGAACATTGTCTTGAAAGTTGAATGGTGTGCAACTTAAAATAATGAATGTTTGAATCTTGGCATAATGACCTTAAATCAAAAGGAATTTGTATGAATTGAAAGAAAGGTAAATGTTAAAACTTTAATGAATCGAATCTTAATGAACAAACAAATGCCTTAAGAAATTTAATCAAAATCCAACTTCGCTCCATTAATCATTAACGCTCAAACACAAGTGACTTGAATTACGAGCAATAGATGATCAATGAATCTTCAAACTCAACAACTTATTTGATGAATTATCTTAACATAAGAATCAAACGTCCTTTGAGAAAACGTTTGTGGCATAAATTGAACCAAGCACAAATTGACCTCGACCTTTGAAGTAATCTCATAGACAATGCTATTTGTGACACTTCACAAAAAGAATTGCCTCGGGACGTTGAGAATTGAAGAAGTTATGAACCTCGAAATTTGGGCAAGAGTTTCTTGTGATTAGGTTAAATTTGCAAAAAGACCTCCAAAGTATTCGAATTTTAGATGATCCTCCACATACAATCAACTCTTGACTTGTAAAGAGGAGTGGGAGATGACATCATACGCAAAAAGAACCACTCAAAAATATGGAATAATGAAGAAGTTATGATCGTTTGAACTTGATCTTGCAAAAAGTTGAATTTTGGTCGAAGTGCTTTAAATCATCTCACATAGCCTGATCTTTTCTTGCATTCTAAGACACATTGAAGCACACGTGAACCAGTGATGATGGAATCTTGTATGTGCTCTGAGGAAGTTGTGGAGAAGTTTGAGAGGTTAAAACTGGCCATATTTCGTGCCCTTAATTTCTTTGAATAAAAATGCAAATGAAGATGGGATCTTAGGTCAAAAATTAGGGTACAACAATACCCTCCATGGCTCTAATTCGCTCTTCGAGAGCATGATACATTTTCGCAGTTTCGGCAACCCCAAAAGCAAGGTTCACTTGGGGTTCATCAAGATCAATAACATCATGATGATCGTCAACATCATTCCTAGGAGCACCGGTAGGAGTCTCAACATTTGCATTGTCATTCCTCCCATTAGCAGAAGTGGAGGGTGCGATAATAGTAAGCTTGGCAACACTTTGGTGTAGTTCTTCTTGACCGTTGATCACGACATGAATGGTTTCTGTAAGTTGATCCGTGCGAGTACCCATGGTGTCCATATCCCGACGGAGTTCATCCTGGTTCTCCTCAAAAAGATCCATTAGCCTTTGTTGGTTGCCTCTGGTACGGTAAGGATGTGGAGGAGTCGTCTTTGTTGTTTACTGTAGTCTGAGAAAAGGGACCCCAATGAGTTTTTGTTGTGAAAAATGAATGCATGGTAATATGGATGAATGCTTTATCTTCATTTCTGAGGAGACCCAAAGACTCGTTTATCTTTTAAAATTTCCCTTTTTTAAAAGCCATATCAACGATACTTGTCTTTGGATTTCCCTAGATATGAGATATACATACATAATGATATGATGTCATGGTATGCTATAGCCTGAAGTCTCAGCTCCACATATTCTGGATAACCATTGCATAGTCCGTTGCACAGGTTGAAAGTAACAGGATCAAAAGTCTGATATCACATGCATGGAGTCAAAGTAACCACCCATGAGGTATGTACTAGGGGTTTATCACCTGCCGAACAAGGTTTTAAAGCGTTCTCGAAGTCTACGCTCTTCCTTTGGATACCACCGACGTCCCAATTACTTGGTAATCAGTAATATTCGCAGGAAAAACTCGTTTGAGTGCAATATCGCGTGACGACTACTTCCGGATTACTCCGTTATAGTCTCCACACTGCACCTAAAAGGCCAGGATGGGTTAATGGTTCTACATCCCTCAACTTCTCGAGTTCCCAGGTCGAAAGCAACGACGTCTTCCCGATTACTCGGTAAACATCACTACTTTCAAGGGGACCTCCACTGAGTGGGGGATTTTCATGCCTCCTTCTTCGGGATTACTCCCTCAAAGTTAACATGACTATACAGCCCGTCCTAATCCTATGTGTGACCCAAATCCGGGTATAGGACTTATCAAAAGCAATCACCAAACCCAACATCACAATGTATCCAGAATATGTGAGTAGCAACAAAATATGCAATATATACAAATAAAGCAATAATAAAATAGTAAAGCAAAGTAAAGAAAATAAATAAACACCCAAGAAGACAAATAAACAAAACTAGGAGAGACTCGCAAAAAAAAATCCCCAACAGAGTCGCCAGCTGAAGCTACCGGCAGAAGACACAGAGCCGCCACCAAACTTTATTTATCCCGAAGGAAAGGGAAATATCGATAAAACCATAAGGGGATGGACAAGATGGTCTTGCGACCAAGAGAAAGGGTAAGGGAGTCAGTTATGCAAGGGGAAGGTATTAGCACCCCTCACATCCGTTGTACTCAACGGGATCCATTTTGTTTGTTTGTCTTAAAGGGTGTGTTTATCTACAACTATGCTTGCTTAAGGGGAAATGAATGGTTTTTATTATTGCGTTCATGAGGGTTTCACGACCCTTTGCCTACGTATCCAATGAAGGAATCAGAACACCGTAGTTCCTCTAGAAAATTGTTTATTTGTTTGTGTTTTTTAGTGGGCGACGTTAACGCACGCATTCTAGCAATAGGCACGACCGATATCACGGTAGAACGAAGATAACATGCCCTTTGGGGGAGTTTTGATTGGTTGGGTGTTTTTTGCGAGTTTTAAAATAAATTCAAGTAATGATTAAAGAGTGTTTTTGGATTTTTGACTTGATTAAAATATTTTATTTGGCTAAAAATGGATGCGGATGAGATTTCTAAGATACGACGACCTAATATAGAAGTTTTGACTTAAAAGGTGTGAGTTTGAAAATTGAATTTTTGGGAAAATTATCTTAAGTTTTTAACAAAATAATAATCAAACGAAAGATAAATGAGGGTATTCGCACGATTAGATGAGACGTGAAGTTAACGAAGTCAAAACATTTCCCTTGGATTAAATCAAGCGAGTAAAATAAAATGGGCATCAAAATATAAGCATTCGAAAATTCATAAGAAAATAAATCTAACGAAACAGATTAATGACCAAAAGGTACCGGAAAATTAAAATGACGGAGATATTTAAGTATAGATAAAAGAGAATGTAACTAATCATCTAAAGAAGTTATTTGAACTAAATTAAAATTCTAAGATTACTTACTAAAATAATTCTAAACTAACTACAAATTCTAAGGTTATAAAAATAATTCTAAAATTACTAAATTAGATCTAAACTAAATTAAAATTTTAAAATTAGTAAATTAAATCTAAACTAAATTAAAACTCTAAGGTTACTAAATTAAATCTAAAACAAAATAAAAATTACAAAGTTACTAAACTAAATCTAAATCAAATAAAATTCTAAAATTACTAAACTAAACCTAAATCAAATAAAAATTCTAAATTATTAAATTAAATCTAAATCAAATGAAAATTCTAAGTTATTAAATTAAATCTAAATCAAATAAAAATTCTAAATCAAATAAAATTTTAAAGTTACTAAACTAAATGTAAATCAAATATAAATTTTAAAATCATTAAATCAAATCTAAACCAAATTAAATCTAAACCAAATAAAATTCTAAAGTTACTAAACTAAACTAAATAAGAATTCTAAAGTTACTAACTAAACTAAACGAATAAAAGCTAAAAAAAATTTAATTAATAAAACTAAACTAAATTGATAAGCAATAAAAACTAAGCAAAGGGAATATAACTAAATTCAACTGAAATAAAAGTATAAAACAGAATTATGGAGGGTGTACGCTGAATTCAGATTGGGCTGGGTGAATCTGTTGGGCTCGGGTCAAGGTAAAGCCCAACAGAATTGTAACACACAAAGGAAAGACCCTAGAAACTTAAGTTAACAGCCGTTTTCCTTCTTGTTTTAGAGAATTGGTCCACGTTTAATTCAATTAATTCTGATTAAAGCAGAATATTTGAAAAAAAACAATCTATTAGTAAAGGCCAAATCGTCTCTCTTTCTCTCTCTCTCTCTCTCTCTCTCTCTCAAGATTCATGTGAAACTCTCTTTCTTCTACATCAATCTGTCGCCATGGATCACCAACAACATGCTTCCGCTCCTCTTTACAGATTCAAAAAACAACAATATACATCAGATGCTAAAGAAGCAGAAAAGGCTTACCTACCAGAGTCGAGTCCGACGCTTTTTCTACCGTGATAATGATGATGAAATAAATCAGAGAAAGAGGTATGCACTTTTTTCATGTTACTTCTTTTACCTTCTGTGTCTTCTTCTTATTTTCTGAGATTCATTTCGGTGTTATTCTTTGTGTCTGTTGCTTTTGCATGGGTATGTTGTTGAATATGAGGTGTGAAAGGACGTGT